GAGCAGAGCATCTGATCTGTCTTTGGGCTTGCACTTAAACCCCTAAGAGGGCCAGATCACAGACGATGAAGAGGCCGCCAACAGTGGATGCTCCTGGCTGGTGAGAAATAACCCTGTCCTCTGGCCTCTAATCGCTTGTTTGTGGTAGTGGGGGTACTTCATATCTACATGCAAGGGTGCAAATGATGATGACATGTTCATCAATGACACAGTCAGCCCTGTGTACTGTGTGCACTGGTCATGAACACAGGACTTTTATCTAAAGATCAGAGGAAGGTGGGAGACAGTGGTACAGGCACATAGGACGTCTGTCAGTGTATAGGCACAGAGGGCTTCTGTGTAAAGATCAGAGGAGAGGTGGGAGACAGTTGTACAGGAATACAGAAGTGACTCCTCACTTGTGGAGCCCGTGCCTTCAATCTACCAGTAGGCTCAGACTTGAAATGATGACTAAAGAGCTTACCATATGGTTCGCCTGACAGTTGAATCCATGCAGGCTGAAGCGCATCAGTGACAGCAGAGGGAAATAGCTCTTCTATTATTTGCTGCCAGAAAACATTCAAAGAGAGAAGAAAGCTTGTATCTCTCTTCTGACACTCGGCTTACCAAAGGGAGAAATGGCTATGAGTTTGTGGGTGGAAAGGACACACCTTTGGTCAACTGGATGAGGTGAGTGCAGTGAGTCTGCAGTTTGTAGATGACATTCCTCCCTCAAGCCCACACCCCTTTCCTTCTCAACCCGTCTCCCTCACTAGCTTTCACATCTTCTTTCCTCTTTTCCCTCCATTTCATGCTCTTTATAATTTCAAAAGACATTAGAAAGAAAAATACAGCTTGTGCTCTCAAAATACATCTATATTCTCAACAACACTGAGGTACTTGAAAACAACTTGAGGAGTTTAGATTCACCAGGGATACTTTAACTCACTTAATTGACACTTACCAAGCACTCTATGTCCCAGTTTAGACAGTGAACTTCATTACTGAAGCAGATCACACAACCCATGTCCTTTTGGAGAGCATACTGCAGACAGACTTTAACCAATCGGTTTTAGGGATAGTAACTTTAATTTTTATATTTTTTAATAACTCCACCACACCAGAGTAATGTAACATGGGAGATGTTGAGTCCATGTGGACAACAACCTCTCCAGGCTCTGTTCCAGTGAGAAGTGGGCCCTGAGGCCTGGGAAGGAATAGGGGAGGGCAAGATGGCCATGAGCATGGCCATTTTCTGAGGGCCTCTCCTTTGATCAGGGCAGGCAGAAAGTGAACAAACTCTTACTGTTGTGTGTCTCAAACTACGTCAGAGCACTCTCCAAGTTTCCATGGGAGGGAGTGGGCAAGTGAATAGGACCCTGTATATATGTGGGGAGATTGGAGAAAAGCCTCGGGAAAGAAGGCAGGCTGGGCTGAGTGCTGAGTGGCGCATGCTAGCTTAGGAGCACCAAGTCCTGTGGAATGAAAGAGAATTTAGTTTAGAGTTTAGAGGAGCTGGAGATCACCAGTCTTATGTACAGTCCAGGTGGAGACAAGTCTGGAACTGGGCCCTGGACAATGGCTAATTAGGTAAGGAGAGAAGAGCATTCCAACCAGGAAGAGGACCAGAAACAGGATCTGGAAATAGGAATTCACATGGCCTGGTTGAAGGTGTGAACAGAAGGTCCCTGTGAGGGGTGGTGGGAGCCATGGTGGCCTCAGAGTCTGAAGGCAAGGAGCTGGGCATGGTCTGACAGTGGAGGGGACTCATCACCTCGTTTCTTTCCCTTTCCTGGCCTATACCCCAGTTATGTGAACTGTGCCTGGGACGACGAGGAGCAGAACCTGATGGCCTTGCAGTATGGCAGATCTTCTACCAAATCTGCCAGGTGGTCAGGCCGGGCTGTGAACTTCAGGTCTGATGTGCAGACGAGTGTGGCAAGGAACTTGGCATCAAGCAGGACATCAGGGAAAAGAGCAAGCTCGTGGCTGGGAAAGGTGAGTGCCACCTCTCTTCCGGTGCCCCCACCACGTCCTGCGAGCCTCCTTGGTCCAATTCTGAAGCAGGGTACAATCCAGTCTAGAGTCAGTCAGGTTGCAACTAAAATGCCTCAGAATTTGCTTTATTTCATATGACTGTTAGGAAAATGTTTATATTAAAAATGTTAGTTCTGATGTTCAATATTTCATGCAAAAAATATGTAATACCCTTTATGCTGAAAGGCGTATAAGTGAAAAGCAAGTTTTCTAGCACATACCAGCCCTCTCACTTTTACCTGTTTCTTCCTCATTTCCTACACATATCTGAGTGACATGCGTACAGTGATTTGCATTCAGTTACTGTTTCAGTTTGTTGTCAAGTGAGTTCATACTCTGTGCCAGACAGGGCTCCACGCACTGAAACAGACAGGGGCTGGTGCTCTGAGGAAAACCAGTGCAGGAAAAGTGCCTTGGGTCAGTATGAGCAGAGGGTGGGCTGTGGTGGAGGATGGTGGGGCAGGGTCTCTCCAGAGATGACACTTCTGGGTAAGGATTCCCGGCAGGGGAGCAACCAGTGCTGTAGCCCCAGGGCCGGGAAGAGAAGTCATGCGAGTGATTGCAGGAGCAAGCACAGAGAGAGAAGGAGGAGGCTGGATGTAACACCAAAGCCTCGGCATCCATGTCCATGTGCAGGCCCCCAGGGGTGTTCCTGGAGACACAGAGCAACTGTGCAGCTTTCAGCTGCAAGTGGCATGGTATCTGTGCTAAGACAATGCTGCAGCTTATTTTTGGTAAGAGACAGCAGCAGGGAATACCCTCAGAGGTCAGTTCCTTGCCAGATATGAGGGAAGAGTGGGCTGACTGAAGATGCATGGGAGTGACGGTGTGAGGAGTCTGGTTGGAGATGTATTTTTAACCAGGGCTTCCTAGTGCATGTTAAATGGACTAAAACTGAGTGAAATAAATGAGGTGTGAGTACTGGTGAGGCTTAAGAAAGGACACATCTTTATTTTATGATTTATGGAAAACAGAGAGAGGAGCAAATTATGAAACAGTTGGGGGAGCAGGAGCCAGAGACCTGTAGTCAGTGGGACCTGGGCCTCTTGGTCTAATCCAGTGTGAAACCCACTTCCTGCAGAGATCAACACAAAGACTACTCTTTGAACAAGGAGTTCAGTTTTACTCACACCTGCTCTAATCACCCCCTGTGCTGCCTCCCATATGCAGTGAGCTCCAGGCCAGGCACTCCTAACTTAACAGACTCTTTCCCCTCAGAGGGAGCCATTCAGGGAGATTCCACCTAAGTCACCAAGAGTCTTATCTCTTAGTAGGGTAAAATACCTGTGGACACTGTGACATCACTTTTCAGATACACACAGGGAAAGGTCCTTGCAGATCCACCTCTATCAGGAAAGACACTGGCTCTGATGCTACTGCAAGGTCCCTAGTCTGGGTAATATGTAGAAAAGGCCCTTAACACAGGCTTCCTGGATTTCTGTAGTTGTAGAGAATAAGAATGGAATGGAAAAGAGGACTGTAAAGGCACACTTGATGGGAGACAAATTGTGCAGTGTCAACACTAAGATGATTAGTGGGGCAGGCAGTACCATGGAAAACCAGCTACCTGACTAAAAGAGTCCTCTTTCACCAGAACCAAAGCCCAAGATGTACCCTGTGTATCCTGCTCTCTGGCCTTCTCCAGTAAAAAATTCCCCTCAGATCCTCCTGAGATCATCTGCAAGAGACCAATTCCGACCAGAGGATCCCTGCCCAGGCAATCAAAATGAGCAGCCGTGATATTCTGATCCACATAGCCTGAGTGACAAACGAGCATCGAGAGGGCAAGAAAAGGCCCCATCCTTTGCTGAAAGGCCCCACATTTTGCATAAGGCTGAAGAGGATTTCAATAGCCTCTTCTTACTCAACCAAAGGACAAATGGGGGCTTCTGAGGTGCATGAGAGAATGATATAAGAGCCCAGCAGAAGCCAGAAACTGAATGCAGAAGAACGAGGCAAGTTATTCACGGGGGCAGGAGTCTCAGGGATTATAAGAGTCAAGTATGGAGAGTGTGGGCAAGGCTCCAAGGATAGGTCAAGTCTCATCACACACCAGAGGACACACACATGGGAGAAGCCCTATGTTTGCATGGAGTGTGGACAAAGCTTCAGTCAGAAGTCCCATCTCATCAGACAACAGAAGACACACAGGGGAGTAGCCCTATGTTTGTGGAGACTGTCGGCGCAGTTTCAGTCAAGTCAGGTGTCATCACACACGAGAGGACACATGCTGGGGAGAAACCCTATCTTTGGGGAGAGTGTGGGTGAAGCTTCCATTAGAAGTCAGTTCGCAGAGACCAGAGGACACACAGGGGAGAAGCCCTGTTTGTGGGGGCTGTGGGTGAAACTTCACTGTGAGGTCCAATCTCATCAGACTCCAGAAGAGATACACAGAGGAGATGCCCCATGTCTGTGGGGAGTGTGGGAAATGTTTCAGGCGGAAGTCCCATCTCATCAGACAACAGAAGACACACACACAGCGGAGAAGCCCTATGTTTGTGGAGCGTGAGGGCAAAGTTTCAGTGAGAAATCAGGTGTCATCACACACCAGAGTACACACAGAGGGGACAAACCCTGTTTTTGCAGGAACTGTGGGTGAAGTTTCAGTTAGAAGTCAGTTTCATTAGAGACCAGAGGACACAGGGGAGAAGCCCCATTTGTGGGGGGTGTAGGTGCAGCATCAGTGTGTGGTCCAATCTCATCAGACTCCAGAAGACACACAACGGGGGATAGCCCCATTCCATGGTGAGTGTGGGCATAGTTTCAGTCAGAAGTGCTTTCTCAGCAGACAATAGAAGACAAACAGCGGAGAAGACCTGTGTTTGTGGAGAGTGTCGGCAGAGTTTCAGTGAGAAGTCCCATCTCATCAGACAACAGAAGACAGACACAGGGGAGAAGCCCTATGTTTGTGGAGTGTGGGCAAAGTTTCCGTGAGAAGTCAGTTGTCATCTCACACCAGAGGACACACACTGGGGAGAAAACTTATGTTCGCAGGGAGTGGGGGTGAAGCTTCAGTTAGAAGTCAGTTCTTTAGAGACCAGAGGACACAGTGGGAAGAAGGCCTGTTTGTGGGTGGTGTGGGTGAAGCTTCAATGTGTGGTCCAATCTCATCAGGTTCCAGAAGACACACACAGGGGAGAAGCCCCCTGTCTATGGGGAGTGTGGGCAAAGTTTCAGAAGTCCTGTCTCAGCAGACAACAGAAGACAAACAGGGGAGAGGACCTATGTTTGTGGACAGTGTGGGGAAAGTTTCAGTGAGAATCCCATCTCAACAGAAGACAGGGGAGAAGCCCTATGTTTGTGGGTGGTTTGGGTGAAGCTTCAGTGTGAGATCCCATCTCATCAGACTCCAGAAGACACACACAGGGGAGAAGCCCCAAGTTTGTGGGGAGTGTGGGCAAAGTTTCAGTGAGAAGTCCCATCTCATCAGACAAGAATACACAGTGGTGAAGCCCTGTGTTTGTGGAGAGTGTGGGCAACGTTTCAGTGGAAAGTCAGGTGTCATCACACAGCAGAGTACACACACTGGAGAGAAAGCCTATATTTGCAGGGAATGTGGGTGAAGCTTCAGTTAGAAGTCAGTTCTGATTAGAGACCAGAGGACACACAGGGGAAAAGCCCCGTTTGTGGGGTGTGTGAGTGAAGCTTCTGGGTGAGGTCCCATCTCATCAGACTCCAGAAGTCACATACCCGGGAGAAAGCCCTTGTTTGTGGGGAGAATGGGTAAGGTTTCAGTCAGAATTCAGTTGTCATCACCCACCAGAGGACACACACAGGTGAGAAGCTCTATGTTTGTGGATGAAGTTTCAGTCAGAAGTCACGTGTCCTCACACACCAGAGGACCCAGAGGGGAGAAATCCTGCGTTTGCAGGGAGTGTGGTTGAATCTTCAGTTAGAAGTCTGTTTCGTTAGAGACCAGAGGACACACAGAGGTGAAGCCCGGTTTGTGGGGGGTGTGGTTGAAGCTTCAATGTGTGGTCCAATCTCATTAGACTCCAGAAGACTTACACAGGGAATTCCCCATTCTATGGGGAGTGTGAGCAAAGTTTCAGTCAGAAGTGCTTTCTCAGAAGACAACCAGGGGAGAAGACCTATGTTTGTGGAGAGTGTGGGCCAACTTTCAGTGTGAAGTCCCATCTCATCAGACAACGGAAGAAACACACAGGGGAGAAGTGCAATGTTTGTTGGGAGTGTGGGCAAAGATTCAGTCAGAAGTCCCATCTCATCAGACAACAGAAGACACACGCAGGGAAGAAGCCTTATGTTTGTGGAGAGTGGGCAAAGTTTCAGTGAGAAGTCAAGTGTCGTCACACACCAGAGGACACACACAGGCGAGAAACCCTGTGTTTGCAGGGAGTAGGGGTGAAGCTTTACTTAGAAGTCAGTTCTCATTAGAGACCAGAGGACACACTGTGGAGAAGTCCTGTTTGTGGGTGGTGTGCGTGAAGCTTTAGTGTGAGGTCCAGTCTCATCAGAATCCAGAAGACACTCACAGGGGAGAAGCCCCATGTGTGTTGGGAGTGTGCACAAAGTTTCAGTCAGAAGTCCCATCTCATCAGACAGCAGAAGACACACACAGGGAAGAAGTCTTACGTTTGTGGAGAGTGAGCAAAGTTTCAGTGAGAATTCAGGTATCATGACACACCAGAGGACACACACCGGGGAGTACTTCCTTGGCAGGGAGTGTGGGTGAAGCTTCCTTTAGATATCAGTTCTGAGAGACCAGGGGACACAGGGGAGAAGCCCTGATTGTGGGTGTTGTGGGTGAAACTTCAGTGTGAGGTCCCATCTCATCAGACTCCAGAAGACACGCACAGGGGAGAAGCCCTATGTTTGTGGAGAGTGTGGGCAACGTTTTTAGTGAGAAATCAGGTGTCATCACACAGCAGAGTACACACAGATGGGAGAAACCCTGTGTTTGCAAGGAGTGTGGGTGAAGCTTCAGATAGAAGTGAGTTTAATTAGAGACCTGCGGACACACAGGGAAGAAGCCCCGTTTGTGGGGGGTGTGGGTGTAGCTTCAGTATGTGGTTCAATCTCATCAGACTCCAGGAGACAGACAGGGGATAGCCCCATTCAATGGGGAGTGTGGGCAAAGTTTAGAAGTGCTTTCTCAGCAGACAACAGCAGACAAACGGGTGAAGACCTATGTTTGTGGAGAGTGTGTGGAAAGTTTCAGTCAGAAGTCCCATCTAATGCCCATCAGCAGACGAGTGGATAAGGAAGCTCTGGTTCATATACACACCATGGAATATTACTCAGCCATTAAAAGAATTCATTTGAATCAGTTATAATGAGATGGATGAAACTGGAGCCCATTGTACAGAGTGAAGTAAGCCAGAAAGATAAAGACCATTACAATATACTAACGCATATGTATGGAATTTAGATGGTAACGATAACCCTATATGCAAAACAAAAAAGACACATGTATAGAACAGACTTTTTGACAGTGGGGAAGGCGAGGGTGGGATGTTTGAAGAGAACAGCATCAAAACATGTATATTATCGGGTGAAACAGATCACCAGCCCAGGTTGGATGCATGAGACAAGTGCTCAGACCTCGTGCATTGGGAAGACCCAGAGGGATTGGGTGAAGAGGGAGTTGGGAGAGTGGTTCGGGATAGGGAATACATGCAAATCCATGGCTAATTCATGTCAATGTATGACAAAATCCACCACAATATTGTAAAGTAATTAGACTCCAACTAATAAAAAAAAAGAATCCCATTTAAGCAGACAAGGCACACACAGAGAAGAAGCCCTATGTTTGTGGAGAGTATGGGCAAAATTTCAGTCAGAAGTCAAGTTTTCATCTCCCACCGGAGGACACACACTGGGGAGAAACCCTATGGTTGCAGGGAGTGTGGGAGAAGCTTCCGTTAGAAGTCCATTCTGAGAGACCAGAGAACACACAGGGGAGAAGACCTGTTTGTGGGCGGTGTGGGTGAAACTACACTGGGAGGTGGAAACTCATCAGACTCCAGAAGACACACACAGGGGAGAAGCCCCATGTTTGTGGGGAGTGTGGGCAAAGTTTCAGTCAGAAGTCCTGTCTCAGCAGACAACAGAAGAGAGACGGGAGAGGACCTGTATTTGTGGACAGTGTGTGGAAAGTTTCAGTGAGAATCCTATCTGAACAGAAGACACAGGGGAGAAGCCCTATGTTTCTGGGGTATTTGGGTGAAGCTTCAGTGTGAGGTCCTGTCTCATCAGACTCCAGAAGACACACATAGGGGAGATAACCCAGGTTTGTGGGGAGTGTGGGCAAAGTTTTAGTGAGAAGTCCCATCTCATCAGACAAGAAGCCGCAGTGGTGAAGCCCTATGTTTGTGGAGAGTGTGGGCAACATTTCGGTGAGAATTCAGGTGTCATCACACAGAGTACAAACAGGAGAAATCCTGCATTTGCAGGGAGTGTGGTTGAAGCTTCAGTTAGAAGTCTGTTTGATTAGAGACCAGAGGACACACAGAGGTGAAACCCGGTTCACAAACCACCCAGTTTGTGGTTGAAGCTTCAATGTGTGGTCCAATCTCATCAGACTCCAGAGGACTTACACGGAATACCCCATTCTATGGAGAGTGGGCAAAGTTTCAGAAGTACTTTCTCAAGAGACAACAGAAGACAAACAGAGGAGAAGACCTATGTTTGTGGAGAGTGTGGGCAAACTTTCAGTGAGAAGTCCCATCTAATCAGACAAAACAGACACACAGGGGAGAAGCCCAATATTTGTTGGGAGCGTGGGCAAAGGTTCAGTCAGAAGTCCCATCTCATCAGACAACAGAAGACACACACAGGGAAGAAGCCTTATGTTTGTGGAGAGTGTGCGCAAAGCTTCAGTGAGAAGTCAAGTGTCATCACACACCAGAGGACACACACCGGGGAGAAACCCTGTGTTTGCAGGGAGTGTGGGTGAAGCTTCTGTTAGAAGTTAGTTCTGAGAGACGAGAGGACACAGGGAAGAAGCCCTCTTTGTGGGTGGTGGTGGTGAATCTTCAGTGTGAGGTCCCGTCTCATCATACTCCAGCAGACACACACAGGGCAGAAGCCCCATGTTTGTGGGGAGTGTAGGCAAAATTTCAGTTGGAAGTCTGATCTCATCAGACAAGAAAACACAGTGGTGAAGCCCTATGTTTGTGGAGAGTGTGGGCAAAGTTTCAGTGAGAAATCAGGTGTCATCACACACCAGAGTACACACGGAGGGGAGAAACCCTGTTTTTGCAGGGACTGTGGGTGAAGCTTCAGTTAGAAGTCAGTTCTCATTAGAGGCCAGAGGACACAGAGGGGAGAAGCTCTGTTTGTTGGCCGTGTGGGTGAAGCTTCAATGTATGGTCCAATCTCATCAGACTCCAGAAGGCACACAGGGGAGAAGCCCCATGTCTACAGGGAGTGTGGACAGTGTTTCAGTCAGAAGTCCCATCTCATAAGAGAACAGAAGAAAAACGGGAGAAGGCGTATGTTTGTGGAGAGTGGGGAAAGTTGCAGTCAGAAGTCAGTGGTCATTACACACCAGAGGACACACACAGGGGAGAAGCCCTATGTTTAGAGTGTGGGCGAACGTTCAGTCAGAAGGCAGGTGTCCTTAACACACCAGAGGACAGAGGGTAGAAACCCTCTGTTTACAGGGAGTGTGGGTGAAGTTTCAGTTAGAAGGCAGTTTTCATTAGATACCAGCAGACACACGGGAGAAGCCCCATGTTTGTGGGGAGTGTGGGCCAAGTTTCAGTCAGAAGTCCTATCTAAGCAGACAAGTGAAGACACACACACGTTAAAGCTCTAGGTTTGTGGAGAGTGTGAGGAAAGTTTCAGTGAGAAGTCCCATCTCATCAGACAACAGAAGACACAGGGGAGAAGCCCTATGTTTGTTGGGTGTTTGGGTGAAGCGTCAGTGTGTGGTCCAATCTCGTCAGACTCCAGAAGACACATACAAGGGAGAAGCCCCATGTCTATGGGGAGTGTGGGTGAAGTTTCAGTCAGAAGTCCTATCTCAGCAGACAACAGAAGACAAGGGAAAAGACCTATGTTTGTGGAGAGTGTGGGCAAACTTCTAGTCAGAAATCCCTTTAAGCAGAGAAGAGAAGACACACACGGGGGAGAAGCCCTATGTTTGTGGAGAGTGTGGGCAAAGTTTTAGAAGTCCCATTTCCACAGGGGAGAAGCTCTATGTTTGTGGAGAGTATGGGCGAAGTTTCAGTCAGAAGTCCCATCTAAGCAGACAAGAGAAGATACACACAAGGGAGACTTGAGGGCAAAGTTGCAGTGAGAAGTCAGGTGTCATCACACAGCAGATGACACACTGGGGAGAAAGCCTCTGTTTGCAGGGAGTGTGGGTGAAGCTTCCATTAGAAGTCAGTTCTCAGAGACCAGAGGACACACCGGGGAATAGGCGTGATAGTGGGGATTGTGGGTGAAGCTTCAGTGTGAGGTCCAATCTCATCAAACTCCAGAAGACACACACAGGGGAGAAGCCCCAAGTTTGAAGTGTGAGCAACGTTTCAGAAGTCACTTGTCATCACACACCAGAGGACACACACCGGGGAGAAACCCTATGTTTGCAGGGACTGTGGGTGATGCTTCAGTTTGAAGTCAGTTCTCATTTCAGACCACAGGAAACACAGCAGAGAAGCCCTGTTTGTGGAGGGTGTGGGCAAAGTTTCAGTTAGAAGTCCCATGTCATCAGACTAGAAGACACAGGGGAGATGCCCTATGTTTCTGGAGAGTATAGGCGAAGGTTCAGTCAGAAGTCTCATCTAACCAGACAAGAAAGGACACACACACACGGGAGAAGACCTATGTATGTGAACAGTGGGCCAAGTTTCAGTTTGAAGTCAGGTGTCATCACACACCGGGGAGAAACCCTATGTTTGCAGGGAGTGTGGATGAAGATTCATTTAGAAGTCTATTCTGAGGGACCAGAGGACACACAAGGGAGAAGCCGTGTGTGTGGGGGGGTGTTGCTGTAGCCTCAGTGTGTGGTCCAATCTCATCAGAGTCCAGAATACAAACACAGTGGAGAAGCCCGATGTTTGTGGGAGTGTGGGCAAAGTTTCAGTCAGAAGTCAGGTGTCATCACACACCAGAGGACACACACCGGGGAGAAACCCTATGTTTGCAGGCAGTGTGGGTGAAGCTTCAGTTAGAAGTCAGTTCTCATTAGAGACCAGAGGACACAGAGCGGAAAAGCCCCGTTTGTGGGGGGTTTGGGTGAAGCTTCAGTGTGAGGTCCCATCGTCTCAGACTCCAGAAGACTCACACACGGGAGAAGACCCATGTTTGTGGGGAGGGTGGGCAAAATTTCAGGAAGAAGTCCTACCTCGTCAGAAAAAAGTGCTGAAGCCCTATGTTTGTGGAGAGTGTGGCAAAGTTTCAGAGAAGTCAGGTGTCATCACACACCAGAGTACACACAGAGGGGAGAAACCCTGTGTTTGCAGGGACTGTGGGTGAAGTCTCAGAAGTCAGTTTCATTAGAGATCAGGGGAAACACAGGGGAGAAGTCCCGTTTGTGTGGGGTGTGGGTGAAGATTCAATGTTTGGTCCAATCCTATCAGACTCCAGTAGACACACACAGGAGAGAAGCCCTGTATTTGTGTCGAGTGCTGGGAAAGTTTCATAGAGAAGTCACATCTTATCAGACAAGAGAATACACAGGGGAGAAGTCCTATGTTTATGGAGAGTGTTTGTAAAGCTTCAGTGAGAAGCCAGGTGTCATCACACACCAGAATACACACAGAGGGGAGAAACCCTGTTTTTGCAGGGAGTGTGGGTGAAGCCTCAGTTAAAAGTGAGTTTCATAGAGACCAAAGGACACACAAGGGAGAAGCCCCGTTTGTGTCGGGAGTGGGTGAAGCTTCAATGGGTGGTTCAATCTCATCAGGCTCCAGAAGACACACACAGGAGAGAAGCCCCATGTCTATGGGGAGTGTGGGCCAAGTTTCAGTCAGAAGTCCTATCTCAGCAGAGAAGAGAAGACACACACAGCGGAGAAGCCCTATGTTTGTGGAGAGTGTGGGCAAAGTTTCAGTCAGAAGTCCCATCTAAGCAGACAAGAGAAGACACACACAGTGAAGAAGCCCTATGTTTGTTTAGAGTAGGGGCAAAGTTTCAGTCAAAAGCCAGTTGTCATCTCACACTAGAGGACACACACCTGGGAGAAACCCTATGTTTGCAGGCAGTGTGGGTGAAGCTTCAGTTAAGAGTCAGTTCTGAGAGACCAAAAGACACAAGGGAGAAGCCCTGTTAGTGGTGGTTGTGGGCAGAGTTTCAGTTCGAAGTCTCATCTCCTCAAACGAGAAGACACAGGGGAGAAGGTCTGTGTTTGTGGAGATTTTGGGCGAAGTTTCAGTCAGAAGTCCCATCTAAGCAGACAAGAGAAGACACACACAGGGGAGAAGTCTGTGTTTATGGAGAGTGTAGGCAAAGTTGCAGTGAGAGGTCAGGTGTCATCATACACCAGATGACACACACTGGGGAGAAAGCCTATGTTTTCAGGGAGTGTGGGTGAAGCTTTCGTTAGAAGTCAGTTCTGAGAGACCAGAGGACACGCAGGGGAGAAGCCCTGTTAGTGGGGCGTGTGGCTGAATTTTCAGTGTGAGGACCAATCTCATCAGACTCCAGAAGACACACACACCGGAGAAGCCCCATGTTTGTGTGAAGTGTGGGCAACTTTTCAGTCAGAAGTCAGTTGTCATCACACACCAGAGGACACACACAGATGCGAAGCTCTACGTTTGTGGAGAGTTTGGACCAAGTTTCAGTCAGAAGTCAGGTTTTCCTCACAAACCAGAGGACACAGAGCGGGGAGAAACCATATATTTGCTGGGAGTGTGGGTAAAGTTTCAATTAGAAGTCGGATATCTTAGGAGGCCAGAGGACACACAGCGGAGAAGCACCATTTGTAGGGGGGTGCATGTGAAGCTTCAGTGTGAGGTCCCATGTCATCAGACTCCAGAAGACACACACAGGGGAGAAGCCCCATGTTTGTGTGAAGTGTGGGCAACGATTCAGTCAGAAGTCACTTGTCATCACACACCGTAGGACACACACCGGGGGGGAACCCTATGTTTGCCAGTTGTGTGGGTGGTGCTTCAGTTCGAAGTCAGTTCTCATTTCAGACCACAGGAAACACAGGGGAGAAGCTCTGTTTGTGGGGGTTGTGGGCAAAGTTTCTGTTAGATATCCCATCTCATCAGACTAGAGGACACACGGGAGAAGCACTATGTTTGTGGAGAGTATGGGCGAAGGTTCAGTCAGAAGTCCCATCTAACCAAACAAGAAAGGACACACACAGGGGAGAAGGCCTATGTTTGTGGACAGCGGGCCAAGTTTCAGTTTAAAGTCAGGTGTTATCACACACCGCAGAGAAACTCTATGTTTACAGGGACTATGGGTGAATTTTCAGTTAGAAGTCAATTCTGAGAAACCGGAGGACAAACATGGGAGAAGCCCTCTTTGTGGCACGTGTCGGTGAAGCTTCAGTGTGAGGTCCAATCTCATCATACTCCAGAATACAGAAACAGTGGAGCAGACCGATGTTTGTGGGATTGTGGGGAAAGTTTCAATCAAAAGTCAGGTTTCATCACACACCAGAGGACACACACCGTGGAGAAACCCTATGTTTGCAGGGAGTGTGGGTGAAGCTTCAGTTAGAAGTCAATTCTGAGAGACCAGAGGATTCTTAGGGGAAAAGCCTTGTTAGTGGGACGTGTGGGTGAAGCTTCAGTGTGAGGTCCAATCTCATCAGGCTCCAGAAGACACACACAGTGGAGAAGCACCATGCTTGTGTGGAGTGTGGGCAACATTTCAGTCAGAAGTCAGTTGTCATCAGACACCAGAAAGCACACACCGGGGAGAAACCCTATGTTTGCAGGGAGTGTGGTTGATGCTTCCGTTAGAAGTCAGTTCTCTTTACAGACCAGAGGAAACACACTGGAGAAGCCCTGTTTGTTGGGGGTGTGGGCAAACTTTCAGTCAGATGTCCCATCTCATTAGACAACAGAAGACAAACAGGGAGAAGACCTATGTTTGTGGAGAGTGTGGGCAAAGTTTCACTCAGAAGTCCCATCTAACTGGACAAGAGAAGATATATGCAGGCGAGAAGCCCCATGTTTGTGGGGAGTGTGGGCAGTTTCAGTCAGAAGTCCCATCTCATCAGACGACAGAAGACAGGTACAGGGAAGAAGCCCTATGTTCGTGGAGAGTATGGGCAAAGTTTCAGTCAGAAGTCCCATCTAACGAGACAAGAAAGGACATACCGAGGGAAGAAGTCCTATATTTGTGGAGAGTGTTGGCAGTTTCAGTTCGAAGTCAGGTGTCATTAGACACCAGAGGACACACAGAGTGGAGAAAGCCTATGTTTGCAGGGAGTGTGGTTAAGCTTCAGTTAGAAGTCAGTTCTCATTAGAGACCAGAGGTAACACAGGGGAGAAGCCCTGTTTGTGTTGGGTGTGGGCAAAGTTTCAGTTCGAAGTCCCATCTCATCAGACGACAAGACACAGGGAAGAAGCCCTATGTTTTTGAAGAGTATGAGCGTAGTTTCAGTCAGAAGTCCTGTCTAACCAGACAAGAAAGGACACACACAGGGGAGAAGCCCTATGTTTGTGCACAGAGAGCCAAATTTCAATTAGAAGTCAGGTGTCATCGCACACACACATCAAAACCCCATGTTTTCAGGGAGTGTGGGTGAAAGTTCAGTTAGAAGTAATTTCTGAGAGACCAGAGGATATACAGGGGAGAAGCCGTGTTTGTGGCAGGTGTGGGTGAATCTTCAGTGTGAGGTCCAATCTCATCAGACTCCAGTAGACACATGGGAGAAGGCCCATGTTTGTGGTGAATGTGGACAAAGTTTCAGTCAGAAGTCAGTTGTCATCACAAGCCAGAGGAGAAACACAGGGGAGAAGCCCTATGTTTGTGGAGAATGTGGGCGAAGTTTCAGTCATAAGTCAGGTGTCCTCACACACCAGAGGACACAGAGCGGGGAGAAACCCTATGTTTGCAGGTAGTGTGGGTGAAGCTTCTGTTAGAAGTTAGTTCTCATTAAAGACCAGAGGACACATAGGGACAAACCCTGTTTGTGGGGGATTCGGGTGAATCTTCAGTGTGAGGTCCAATCTCATCAAGCTCTAGAACACACACACAGGGGAGAAGACCCATGTTGCAGGGAGTGTGAGTGCCTCATGACCAGTAAATCACATCTTAGCCACAGAAGGCGTAAGACAGACATATGTCCTGTACGGGGGCCTCAGAGGTGGTGTATGACCCATTATGCTCCCCAAGAGTATGACAAGAGTCTTTCCAGATGGTCCAGTGGCTAAGCCTCCAATGCAGAGTCCTACGTTCAATACTAGATTGGGGAACTAGCTCTCACATGCTGCAACTAAGACACAGTACAGCCAAATAAATAAATATATAAATGAATATTTTAAAGAAAGAGTGTGATAAACACAGAATTAAGTTATTAAAGAGGCCTTCCACTTTCGTGACAGGAGAGGAGTATAATAAACAGCAGAAAGTTCTTTAAGTGTTCTGGAGATGTTCATGCCAAATGCCTTCATGGTTTTTTGTACTCCTAATAAATTTTATTTCTAAACAAATCTGAGTCCAGACTACATACTCACTTCCCCCTTGTTACTGACAGCAGTGGGGTCCAGTGTTAGCTGAATCCTTGGGAAGGATAATTCTGAAGCCAAATCAGGTCACTAGACAGTCAGTTACTCAGTCCAGGGAGAAGCATCTAGGGTTTGAGACATTCTCATCATGGAAGAGAATACCTTGGCCTCTTGGGAAGTGTGGCTTCTCCTCCTAATAGACATTGACCTTCCTTTGGCCTCCCTTGTTGCCCTCTTGTGTCCTCTGACTTCTGTAGCAACAAAGATGAAGTCCACGTGTACGTGTGTGTGTGCACGCGCACGCGTGTGTGTGCACGCACGTGTGTGTGAGCGCGCAGGTATGTGTGTATGCCTGGCTCAGTCTGGGGCATCTGGTCTCTGTCACTGTGTCTTTGCCGCTCCCTCAGGGTTATCACAGCATCTGTATTCCAGATTCAGCTACAGGAGTCCAGTTCTCAGCCCTGCCCTCAGCAGCTGTGTAACCAGGGCAAGATGCTCAACCTTTCTGCGTCGCTAGTCTCATCTGTGAGACTGTGGGAGTGTCAGCATTTTGTTCTTTTGCATAAGCATAGGCAGAATCTAGCAGAGGCTGGCTGAGAATGCAAGCTGTTCTTTGTGGGGTTTTTATTTTTTTTTAATTTATTTTTTAATTGAAGGGTAATTGCTTTACAGAAGTTTGTTTTCTGCATGTTCTTCAGATACCCCACCTTCCATGTCTTCAGAGCTAGCCAAGGAAGGGGCTGTTCAGGCACTCAGCTGCCCTGATAAGGGGGTGTGAGGTTAGGGGTGCTAAGGGAAGGTGACATCCCTTTCCACAACTGCAATTCCCGTTGAGCTGGG